CCAGGAGTTGGAGGTTGCTGTGAGCAGTGAAGCCATAGCACTCTACCCAGGGGACAGCTTGAGGCTCTGTCTCAAAAAAAAAAAAAAAAAAAAAATTAGCTGGAGGGCCAGGCAGGGTGGCTTACACCTGCAATCCTAGCACTCTGGAAGGCAAAGGTAGATGGATTGCCTGAGTTCACTCATGGGTTTGAGACCAGCCTGAGCAAGAGCAAGACCGCATCTCTAAAAACTAGCTGGGTGTTGTGGCAGGCACCTGTAGTCCCAGCTACTTTGTAGGCTGAGGCAAGAGAATCGCCTAAGCCCAAGAGTTTGAGGTTGCTATGAGCTATGATGCCACAGCACTCTACCAAGGGTGACAAAGTGAGACACTGTCTCAAAAAAAAGAAAAAAAGAAGAATTAAACCGGGTATGTACTTATAGTCCTAGCTACTTGGGAGGCTGAGGCAGGAGGATCACTTGAGCCCAGGAATTTGATATTACTTGAAACTGTGAGATACGATCATGTCACTAAACTCCAACCCAGGCAGCAGAACAAGACCCTATCTCAAAAGAAAAGAAAGAAAAAGAAAGGCCCAAGTCTTCTCCCAAGACAAATATATAGATTATGATCTTTGCATCTACCTTCAGAGAATTCACCGGTCCATCAACAGAGCTACAACTTAAAAATACCTAGATTATGTTATTGCTACGTACTAAGGTATGAAATTGCGAGCACTCTGTCATCTGCAGAGCATTATAGTGGTGTGAGGTGGGAAGAAAGGGCCTAGTAAGGGCACAGTGTTCTCCTCCAGGTAGAGGCTCCTCATGTGGACTGGTCTCTGGGTATGCTGGGGGCTGATCACCTGCAGTCAGTCTGGAGAATTAGGGAAGAACCTGATACTCCAAAGTGGAGGCTCAGCTGTAGCTTTTCTCCTCTGTGTTCTAACCCCAAGCCTGGTAACCTCCCTGCCATCTCTGCTGGTCAGCTGAGGACCAGGATGGAGAAAGTAACAGTAATGAAGATTAGTTCAGGTCAGTAGGGATGACACAAGGCAAACTGCAGGGTTTGGTACAAGCCCCACCCTTGAGGCATCCTGCTAACCATAGTCTGGGAGCTCCCTTCCATGCCTGGGTAGTTATCTGCTGTCTCCTCCTCTGTGACGCCCCTGCAGTGGGTCAGACTTGGACAGGTTTGCGGGGGCTAGACTATGTTCTGTATCTGCACTTAGGGAGTCCAGAGGTCCGAAAGCGGCACAGTGAGCTCTTGCCTGCCTTCCACTCCCCAGCTCAGGAACCCTGGCCAGGAGGCCCTTTTGAGGCTATCTCATCCTCTGGTTAGAGCTTGCAAGTGTAGCCAAGGTGAGGATGGGCATCCTGGCAACTGAGCAGGTGCCTGGCCAGGGCACAGGCAGCCTTGTCTCTCCTGAGCCCACGATCAGAATGGAACATCCCCCCACCCACCCACACACTGGGCCTTCTCCTGCTGGTGAGCCTGGCTTTAACCAGGCTCCAGAACAACAGGGCCACAGGAAGGTGCCAAGTGTTGTCTTGGAAGAAAACACTTGAGACCATAAACTAGAACAATTCTTTTAAGTCAAAAACTGCTGGTGTGTGCAATTCCTCCTGCCTGCTGCCAGGCCAGGGATGCACACAGCCTCTACAAGAGGGAGTCCCAGTTTGTGGGAGGCAGCTATGGGACATGCCTAGCCAAATGCCCATTTCTAGATGGTAAGCAATGAAGAGGAGGGACTGGGGAGAGGAGCGTGAGTTAAATGAAGGCCCTGACACTGCCTGGTGGGTGGAGGAGAGGAATCCCCTCCCGCAACTGAGGTCTCAGGCAGAGTCTAGGTTATGCTGCCCCCTGTCGGCTGCTGCCACTGCTGTCACCTTCCAGTTCTAACCACAGACACCTGGCCCCTATGCCCGGCTGACTTGGAGTCAGAATTCTGACTGCTTGTACCGCGGCATCTCCTTCTCACATGGGCATTCATTCCCATTGAGATAACCTGGAAGTCAACCCTGTAGACTGCACCCAGGTGAGAGTAAGACTAGATTTTTCTTGCTCTGGAGACAAGTCTGCAGGTGTGGGTCGAGCCTACTCACACCATTGACTCATGCCAGTGAGGTGAGGACACTTAGCTTTCTCCAACCAGACCCAGGAAGAGTAGGATTCTTGCATCCTACTGCTGAGACAGGAAGGGGCGTGGTGCAGCCAGGGTGCCCTTGATACGGTTTGCTGTGCACCTCTGTAAGTCCAGCTGGTGCAGCCCATCCCTTAAGTCAGTCTTGGGCAGTCAGATCAGCCATGTGCTTTCAGATGAGTGAGGTTGCAGGTCACAGACACCTGTAAAGGTGAGGTCCTTGGAGTAAGGGGCTTGTGGCCCATAGTACTTCTGTGCTCCCAACATGGAGGCCTGTCCCTTTGATACTCCAGCCAAGTAGGTCTCCAGGGTTTTAAGCAGCCGCCGTGGGCTCTTCTTGGCTAACATTTCCAAGTCTGGAATAGAGAGGATTGGGGAAAGAAGGCTTGAGGAGGCTTTGGATGGCAGGGCCTCAAGCCTAGCAGCTCTACGGAGCAAGCCACCCCTATCCTACAGAGAGAAAGGTGATGGAGTATTCTAACATGGAAAGATCACCAGAGGGGAGGCCGAGGAATGAGATATAGCCACAGGGGCCACATGTGCTACCTGGTCCAGGATAACTGCTGACCCAGCTTCCAATTATGGATTCAGAAAATATGCCCATGAGAGGTATAAGACCTGAAAAGGAGGCTGGACTCGTGACTCATGCCTGTACTCCTAGCACTGAGGCTGAGCTCATGAGTTCAAGACCAGCCTGAGCAAAAGTGAGACCCCCTCTCTACTAAAGATAGAAAAACTGAGGCAAGAGGATTGCTTGGGCCCAAGTTGGGAGTTGCTGTGAGCTATGACACACTCCACCCAGGGCGATAGCTTGAGACTCTGTCTCAAAAACAAAACAAAGCAAAAAACCACCTGAAAGGGAGGAGAGGTGGGGCGGCGCCCATACTCAGTGGGTAGGGCACCGGCCACATACACCGAGGCTGGCGGGTTCGAACCCGGCCAGGGCCAGCTAAAAAACAATAATTATAATTGCAATAAACAAAAGAAAATAGCAGGGCATTGTGGTAGGCACCTGCAGTCCCAGCTACCTGGGAGGCTGAGGAAAGAGAATCACTTAAGCCCAAGAGTTGGAGGTTGCTGTGAGCTGTGATACCATAGCACTCTACCCAGGGTGACAGCTTGAGACTCTGTCTCAAAAAAAAAAAAAAAAAAAAGAGAGAGAGAGAAGAGGTGGCAGAGAAAGGAGAACTAGCAGGCTCCAGAGGGTAGGCTTAGGAAAACCTGGGCAAGCTGGGATTTGAGAGAATATGAGTGAGGGTGGGGGAAACTACACCCAAAACCAGTCTTGTGGCCACCCTAGGGTTTCTGGACCTGGCACTCTGGTATGCAGGATGCTTGGCCTCCCAGGAAGAAAAAGCACACCTTTGAGGACAAAGCCTGAGTCAGAGATGGTCTTCTGCTCTGTCCTCCAGATGTGTGCGAGGTGGAGGAAAGTGGCTGCATAGAAGCTGTTCACTACGGGGATGACCTTCTGCTGCCGATTACACTCCCTATGGGACAAAGGAGGTGATCTGCTCAGTGAATGACCAGGCTGACACCTGGGTTCCCTCCTGCCCTCCCTTCCCATTCCTCCAGGGAAGCCAGCTCAAAGCCAGGATGCCCCCACCATTCCCCAGGCAGCTTTGCATCTGCCGTCAGGGGTGGGGAGGAGATGTGCAGGGGAGGCAGGAGTGTGGGGACTTTGCCAGGCTCTCCAGGAGTCAGCAGGGGAGGAGCAGTGCTATGGAGAACGAGGCAGGCTCGGCTGTGGGTCACTGTGATCAGCTAGCAACTGGGGACTTACCTAGAAAGACACTCCTCTCTCAAGGCCTGGATGGCAATTCGGGTGATGTTCACTGACATCAAACAGAAAGGGAATTGCTGGAACGAAGGGGCACCTGGTCAGTGGCAAAACCAGCTCTCACCTTGTGTGTTTTTTGTCATCAGAAGTATAGGCAATCAGCCTCAGAGGCAGCAGCCAATATTAATTTATCTTAATTTTCCAGTAGTCTTCCCACAGTACAGATGAGGAACTAAGGTTCAGTGACCTTCAGGAACTTTCCTAGAGCGTGGAAACTAGGATGCCAAATGAGGTTCTTGGCTCTAAGGCTGGTGTGCACCACCCCTGCACTGCTCCTCGAGTCTCCTCATGCCGACACACTGGCTCTCCTGGGCCTTCCCTGGACCCATCGACGAGCTGCAGTGGTGGCACCTCTCACCCCGGGGGCTAGGGGTGAACATAGGAGTGAGGCTCACTTCTCTGATTCTATAGGTTCTTGAAGTCTCCTCTATCTTCTTGAGGCTGCTGTTTCCCTGGCTGCTCAGGGCACCTCATCCAAAAATGGAGAAGATGCAAGAAGGTGGACAGTCAGCCCTGACCTAGGCACAGCCACCTCTCCACCCTCCTGGAGAACTGGCCGTGCAGGTCCAGCTTCCCAGAGGTGGCTGCTTCACCAGGACCAGCTCAGAATCCTCTGTAGGGTCTACGTTAGTGCATTAGGAGGGGCAAGTTCTTCCTTTCTTTAACAACAATGAAACCAAGCAAGCATAATTTCTAAATGGAAAGGGGCTTTTTACAGGGAATTTGCAGACATGACATGTTATTTTCCCTGTTGTACACACACAAAGACATCCACTGACAGGAACATGTAGAACAGTGTCTACCTTAGCACAGAATAAGAGCCCCCCAAAAGTCTATTTAACCTACCTGCTTTCCACAAGAGGAAAAATACAGTGTATTATAGCACAGAACTGCACTGTCAGGATGGCAGACACTAGCTACGTGCAGCTATTTAAATTTTATTTATTTACTTATTAGAGACAGGGGCTCACTCTATCATCTATGCTGGAGCGCAGGACTATGGGCACCAAGCCCAGCTGATCTATTTTTTGTAGAGATGAGGTCTATATTCCCCAGGCTAGTCTTGAATTCTTGGCCTCCTATAATCCTTTCACTTTAGCCTCTGAAAGTGCTGCTGTTGCTGTGCCACTGTGCCAGGCCTATTTAAATTTCTATGAATTAAAAAATATATAAAATTTAAAATTCACCTGTTTGGTGGGACCAGCCACATTTCAAGGCTAAGTAATCACATGAGCTCAGTAGTTACTGTATTAGACAGTGCATTTCCAGTGTCTGGAACATTCCATCACCAAGGAAAGTTACACTGGACAGGGCTGGACTCTAGAAGGTCTTCTGGCTCCACAGAGATTTTTCTCAGGTTCTTCCATAGATGCCAGATATAGGCGTGGCTACCTGTTAGCTGTGTGCCCTTGAAAAGGCCACTCAACTCTGTAAGATTCAGCCTTCCCACCTCTCAAAATCAAAAAGGAAACAAACTGACTACTGTGCAGAAGACGGTTATTGTGGCAGGTCTGAGATCACCCTCTTCAGAAAGTCCTGCCTACGAGGTTGGCCCATGGCTGACATCTGAGAACGTGGATGTTGAGATGGTTCCTAACATTCCCTAACTGATAGGATGGCTGACTGGTTCATGCTGAACACCTGCTCTCCTTCTGTGACTCTGGAATTATGGTATGTGCTAGGCAGAGGGTGCCTACATGACCAGCCCCCAGTGAAAACCCTGGGTGTGGAGTCTCTAATGAGCTTACCCAATTGGCAACATTTTATACAACTTGACATACAACTTGGCACTGGAGAAATTAAGCATGTTCTGTGTGATTCCACTGGAAGACCAGCGCCTGGTTTCCTGTGCACCTTTTCCCATGCACTGCTCCCTTTGCTAATCTTGCTTCTGCTGCAGTATATCAAAGCTATAAGTACAACCGTATGTCAAGTACTGTGAGCCCTCTGAGTGTGACATCATGTCTGGGAGTAGTTTTGGGAACCAGGCATTGGTGCCATGCTGGTGGAGTTAAGTCACTTATTACAAAAACTCTTTGAGAGATAGATTTTTTTTTTTGAGACAGAGTTTCACTTTGTCACTCTCGGTAGAAGGCAGTGGCATCACAGCTCACAGCAACTTCAAACTCTTGGGCTTAAGTGATTCTCTTGCCTCAGCCACCAAGTGGCTGGGACTACAGGTGGCGCCTGCCACAATGCTGGCTATTTTTTGGTTCTAGTTGTCATTGTTGTTTGGCAGCCCCAGGCTGGGTTTGAACCTATCAGCTCTCGTGTATGTGGCTGGCACCCTAGCTGCTCAGGTATAGGCGCCGAGCCTGAGAGATAGATTTTATTGTCAACAGTTTACATTTTATCCCACTACCCATCTCACACACCTGTGAGCATTAAGATCACATAAGCAAAATACTAGGCACAGAGACTATTCATCATTATAATCCATGCATCAACACAGGTTAGCAGAGGTCAGCAGCAATGCATTTACACACCTTCAAGTAGAAATCAGTATTGCCTATTTAATTATCATATATGCTTGCATAATATCAAGATGTGATATTGACTTCATATCTAAAAATAGATATGGAAAGAAGAATATCATAGTAACAGAATTAACACAGGACCCAAACCTAGTGTTCACTTACTCTCAGGAACATTCTTATAATGTCCACTAATAAAAAACAGTGGAAAACTGGGCCAGTGTAGTAGCTCACATCTGTAAGCTACTGGTGAGGCACTCTGGGAGGCTGAGATGAGAGGATTGCTTGATCGCAGGAGTTTGAGATTGCTGTGAGCTATGACATCACAGCATTTCAGCCTGAGCATCAGAGTGAGACTGTCTCAAAAGAAAAAAAAAAAAAAGGCCAGTGTGGTAGCTCATGCCTGTAATCCTAGAACTCTAGGAGGCCGAGGAGGGTGGATTGCTTGAGCTTACGAGTTCAAGACCAGCCTGAGCAAAAGCGAGACCCTGTCTCTACTAAAAATAGAAAAACTAGGGCAAGAGGATCACTTGAGCCCAAGTTGGAGGTTGCTGTGAGCTCTGATGCCATGCGCTCTACCCAGGGCAATAGCTTGAGACTCTGTTGCAAAAAAAAAAAAAAAGCAGGAGAAACTGGATTCTAGATTTAAATGTCTCCTTTCTATTAGTACTTCCCTTGGACATAAAAGCATTGCTTTGAGCTCAAATACTGCACTGAGGCTGTGTTTAGGGAACTGACTAAAAGAATGCAAAGGAAATCAGACCTGGACATTGTTGTGCTTCCATTTAAAAATCTCATTTTTCGGCTCAGCGCTTGTGGCTCAAGTGGCTAAGGCGCCAGCCACATACACCTAACATGGCAGG